GGATCTTGTTCACAAATGAGGGAAAAAGGGAGCGTTTTAATGGGCGCTTTCTTCTTTTATTTACAATTTTGACTTCCAATGATTCACTTCCTGCTGAAGAGCCCCCTGGTGGTTGAAGAAAAATACACATATAAGCCGCACCAGGCTATAAGCTGCAAGGTTCAAAGCTTAGAAAAAAGTAGCGGCTTATAGTCCGGAAAATACAGTAAATATTTAGCTTGCTAATGTTATCAAACTGCATATTTAGCTTGATAAACTAAATATCCATGGTAATTAAATATTAAGTTTTAAACAGACATTTATAAATGAATGAATAACCACAGCCCTCACTGGCTCACACTTTTCCCATAATGCATCCTGCTGCCAGGTGTTGCTTACTGAAAAGGAGCAGATGGAAACAACCATCCAAGTAAACGGGGCCCAAACACAAATGCATGCCACACTTTTTAGATATTATTTGTAAAAATCGATCACTCCGTCTGTTACATCCTCTGAAGTTTGCCTCCTGACAGATAAAAACTGGACGTGGTTTTTCACCCAGATGCAGCTCCGCTAACATCAGTCCAGCCGCCATCTTGATTCTAGAGAGAAGAGGCTTCCTCCGTCCTTCAGTGTTTTTCTGATCTGTGATGACCTTTGACCTGCTAACCAAGGGCTGTGGAGCTGCACCGTCATGGTGTTAGGTTCTGCAGAAACCAGCAGGAACTGGATGCGAGAACTGGGATAAAATTATTTGATGGTGCTGACGGCGGTGAAAGTCCAGCAGCAGGAACTGGGACTGGAGAAAAGTTCCTGTTTATGAAAAACATTTCTGAAAATATGAGAGGTCAGCTCACTAACATCTGACATGTCATGAGGTGATGAGGACGACGGTTTGGACCAAGCCGGAACCTCCACCAGAACCAGTCAGCCCCGATAAGGCTGCTGATAATGAGGTCAGGCTGGAGCCATACGTCCCTGGGTTCAAAGGTCAGCCATTTGTCAGCGTAAAGATGTAGACTAAAGTTCAGCTGAAAACCCGAAGTAGAGGAAAGTCTGGAGGAAGATCAGCAGAATGTGACCCAAATCAACCATTTTTTGTAACATTTCCAATAATTTTATCCAAGAAACATCCCATTGTTTTCTAAGTTTAAGTTCAAACCGTTTACTGTCGTAAACAGGTCGACTGTTTCCGGCAGTAAAGATGGCCGCCGCCATCTCTGGAAGGTTTTAAAGTGTTTGAGAGCGACAGCATCATAGACATAATATATGTTATATTATGTCTATGGACAGCATGGCCACCGGATCAGAACCAGACGAAGGAGGCTGATAAAAACCATCTGGTTCCGTCTGTTGCAGAATCATGACGTGTCACATCAACGTGAAAGTCGGATGAAATGCGAAATGGTCGTTCAGGCGATCTGCCGTGATGGTATGTAAGAAAAAAAAAGTAAATTTCCGCCAAAAACTACAATTTTTGGTCAATTGGTCTGACACATTTTCAAGAAAAAAATTCAAATTCCTGAGCTCCAAAAATAAAAAATTAGAAAAACTCAGAAATTTTATAATAAAATATTTTCTAGAAAAAACTTGAGATGCAAACCTTGAATATTTTCAACTTTGAAACCCAGAAAATCTTCCAAAGTTTCTGAGATTAATCCCCAACTCCTTTCTTTGTGTATCCGTTTGCCGTCCATTGGCTACATTCACACAACATTCCCTGAACCAAACCAGCTGGTGTCCAGGTTAAACCCTCAAATAGATAAAGATCACCATGGTAACCTGCGTCGGACCAGGTTACCATGGTAACGTTGTTCTGTTGGCTTATGACAGCTGGGAGCAGCTTTACGATAAAGACCATACACCTGCAGCGCCACCCGGTTTGATGACCAGCTGCAGTAAAAGCCACCAGATAATAAACTGAACTGAAGGCAGGAAGTGAAACAGACAAAGAAAACGGGAAAATGTCTAATCAGGGTTTCTAAGCCCAGCTGGGTCCGACCGAGTTCACGGTTCTACAGAAAAACAAAATCATCAGATGAGTTCAGCAGGAAGGAATGGCGGCCATTTGTAAAGCTACACTGTCAAAAGTTAATCATTTGGGTTATTTAGCCTGAGATAAGAAGGAAAAAACAGTTAATCTTCCAGATGTTATTTATACGGTAATAAATGACGTCAGAGAGCAGAATATTTATTAGTTTGAGGTAAAATATTCATTTTGCTAACAAGTTGGCAAACTATTTTGCTAACATGCTAATGTTACCATGTCAGCTATAAACTAAAAAATTCAGGCTAAATTCAAATTGAGTTCAAAAATACTTTATAAATCTTAAAGGGAAATGAAAGTGAAGCTCATGAAAATTCTTCAGAGCCATTGATGCTGATGGCTGTTGGCAGGAAGGATCTCCTGTAGCAGTCTGTACTGCACTGAACCTGAAGGAGCCTCTGACTGAAGACGCTCTGCCTCATGAAGAGGACGGTTAGATTTGGCCATAATTTACTAGCTTTTATGAAGAATCCTTCTTTGCATCATCTCCAGAGGTTCCAGTCAGAACCAGAACCTGGACAGAACAGAACAGTTCTGTCCAATCCATCCTTCCTTCCTTCTCTCCTTCCTCCCTCCTAGTGGGGTCGGGAGGTGCTGGTGCCTCTCCAGCGAACATTTCGGGCGAGAGGCGGGGTCACAGGTCACTGTTGTAAACGTGCAGATATAACAAACCAGTCTGTCAGTAAACCTCTCTCACCACAGAGCGAAAGGACAGAGGTTGATTCTTAGACCTTTGCCAAGAGAAGATCAGCTTCACATGTGAAAATCTGCAGATCACCGATCTTCTAAAATTAAGGAAATCACCACCGCTAAGTCGGTGCACTGCTAAAGCTAAGTATTTAGTCAGAGGCTAAATATTTATTTTTGGTAACTAAGCTGGCAAACCAAAACAATTATTTTTGCTAACTTACTGTTTACATTAGCATGTTAGGAAACAAAAAAATTAACTAAATATTTAGTTATAAAGCTAAATATGCAAAATATTAGCAAGTCAGCAAACTAAATACTTATCTAGCTTGCTAACTATATAGTCAACTAAATATGTAACTAACTCAATAATTAGTAAGCTAAATATTTAATTTGAGGCTAAAAAAGAAGAATTTTAACTGAATATTAAACTAAATATTTAGCTCACTAAAGTGTTGATGACCTGATTTCTGATGAGGAAGATGATGGAATCTTCACCATAATGTTATTTAACAGGAAGCGGGGAAAGCCAGATGATGAGTCAGCAGGTTTTAGGAAAGCTCAGTTTTTATTTCACTGGAATAAATAAAAAAAATGTATCCAAACTTTTCTGTTCTTAGGAAACAAAACAATTAAAATCTTGTTTCTGTAAGAAAATTAAGGAAAAAACCAATTCAGTTCTCTGCAATCATGTTTAGTAAAATCTGAGTCACGGGGACGAGGCAGAACATTATGACCAGTGGAGATGCAGTGAGAGCGATGGCCAAAGGCTCTTAAAGGTACAGTCTGCAGAACGTCAAGATGTCTACACAGAAAAAACATTAAAATTATATTTCTACTAAAATGTCCAGACATGGCTATAACGCTGGTCATAATGTTCTGCCTGATCAGCACAAACCATCAGTGAGGTTTATTATTTCAGGAGTCATAAAATAAACATCAGAACCAGACGGAACCGGCTCGATGGAGCCAACAGGAAGAATTGGATCAGAACCCGTCCAAGTCCAGAACCAGCTTCCTGTCGCTTCTCCTTCCTGGAAGGAAACCCAGAACCGCTCCCAGGTTCTGGTTCTGGTGCTCAGGAGTCCAGCAGGCTGGAGAACCAGCTGTGGTCCAGTTTCCTGACCCGCCTCAGCTCCCTGACCTGGGCTCTGCTCAGAACCGGGTCGGCACTGTCCGTCTCCAGCAGCCCCCTCTCTGGCCGTGTTGCTCTGGTTTCCATTTCCTGATCTGAATCTTCCTCCTCCTCCTCCTCCGGGTCGCTGGGCGTTTCTCCCGCTGAGGTTTCGTTTTCCCTGGAGGAACGGTGGAGATGTTAGCATGACTCAGCAGAAAAACAACCCAGACTGCCGAGTCACAGCAGATCATGCTGCAGCAGCTCTTTGTGCCGAGTCATGCTGAACTTTCTGTTGGCTGTTTGGACCGGTTCTTCCAGAAGGTTCCGGACCCAAACGCTTCGTCAGCAGATCCTGGATCACTTTTAGTCTCACCGTTTCAGATAAATGTAACAAACTGCAGTAATTTTCCCTTCAGGCTGTTTGCTCCTGTTTCTGTAACTGAATCTACGATTCAGATCCCTGAATGTGATCTGAACCAACACGCTGTGAGAAACCATTAATCCCAGTCACAATTTTTACCATTTAATCATTTCTAAATGTTTAAATTGTAATCAGTTCTGGTTCTGACCTGGTTTCCGTGGCGACGCCGAGCAGAGCCTCCATGAAGACGGAGCAAAGCGCGGCGGCGGCGGGCAGGACGTGAGCCGGACTCTGCAGCAGCTGCAACAACAACGAGACGTCAGTCAACCTGCTCCTACTTCCTGTTTCCTACTTCCTACTTCCTGTTTCCTCCAGCAGAAGGAAGTCGGACCTCTCTGACAGCAGCAGAACCTCCAGGCGGCACCGGGCGCTCGGCGGGCGGTCTGACCGCCGGATCCTCCACCGCTGCTTGGTGGTGGGGTCGGCGTTTCCCCAGCAACAGCTGGAAGGGCGTCATGGCAACGCTGTCGTCAACCACGAGCTGCGAAGGAGGAGAAAAGACGGGGATGCAAATGCTGTGAGAACAGAACCGGGTCGGACATCTGGGGCGACACAAACAGCCTCATTACTCAGGACGGCTCCCATCAAACATGGAGATGAAGACGCTTTGCAGACAAACTGGTTTGTTTGTTTTTACATTAAAATGCAATTAAAATGTTTTGAGTTTTACCAAGAGAAATATCTGAACAACGTCCAGAATTTAAGAATCATCTTAAACGGATCACACCATCGTCGTCCTGTCAGCATGAAGCTGCAGAACTCACTGGGAAAATTAACGTTTTCTTTTTCTACGTCTGTTTAATATTTTTGGCTCATTTCCTAAAGTACGGTGGCTGACAGGTTCAAGCGGCAGCAAACACAGGAATGAGTGTTAACTTTAAAAAACAGAAAAAGATGCAGCAGAAAAATATTGAAAACACAGGAAATAAAAGCAAAATACCAAAACAACAGGAAGTATAAAACTCTGAAGTGGCTCCAGAAAACGTTGGTCCTCCAGACCACCAGGGGGAGTCAACCAGCAGATCATCTGGGACCAGAACCTCAGGAAAGACGGGATGACCAGCAGAAAGAAAAGCTGCGCAATACCAAGTCTTTCCTAACCTTATACAACAGCAGCATGTTTACGTCAGATTTACTGACTCCAGACTCCCTCTAGTGGTCTGGAGGACTAACGGACTGTGGCAGGAGTTTGCAGCATTTTGTACTTGCTGTTTTGCTTCCATTTCCTGTGATTGCAGCATTATTCTGACGCATTTGTTTTTTTGTTTGTGTTCCCATCTACCATAAAGTTGCACAAATTTGAATTATTAAGATAATTTTACCAAATGGAATGTCCTTCCATGTTAGCCGCCATGTTGGAAAACGTTAGGTGGGTCTAAGCATCAGGAAATGAAGGAGAGTTTGTGGAACATCAAACTTTGTGTCTCTTAGATGGATTTTAGTTCTGAATACTGGATGTAAACTGGGATCAATGGGGTGAAATTTACTGCTTTTACATTAAAAGATCAACATCCTGTGAGCGCCTCCTGGTGGTCAGATAATTACAAATCAATAACTGGACAGGATCAGTACGTGTGAAGTATAATGTAAAGAGTGGATAGGACTGGGATTCTTTAAGTAAAGCTAATTGAGTCAAAGTTAGCAATAAAGGCTACGTATATGCTATCATTTCTAGAGTTAACATGGAGATTAATACTCCATGTTAACTATCCAGGCAGATAGAGCAGGTATCTGCTCACCTGTTTGCTTGCAGTCATCAGCCGTTCCTCCTCTGCTCTGGTGCTGAAGGTCAGCAGGTCCTGTACAGGAGAAACAGCATGATAAAACCTGCTGGAGTTTAGGATAAAACCTGCTGGAGTTTAGATAAAACCTGCTTGAGTTTAGATAAAACCTGCTGGAGTTTAGGATAAAACCTGCTGGAGTTTAGGATAAAACCTGCTGGAGTTTAGATAAAACCTGCTGGGGGTTTATTCTAAGCCTCAGCAGGTTTTTATTCTCATAAAGATGAACGGTTTTCTTGGAAGCGGCCAGGTGTCAGAGTGGGACCTCTCTCCCAGAGCGTGAGCTGGCCGCTGATTGGCCGATATTTGGCCCATTTGTTTACCATGAGCGGCGTCAGGAAGTAGAGCTGTGAGCGGTTCAGCCACTGGCTGCTCTCCTCGCAGCTCTCCAGCGCCACCTCCCTGGGGGCGAAGACGGCGCGGCTCACCCGCCCCGAGCACACGGCCTTCTGGGAAAACAGCGGCCGCGGCTCGCTGGGCTTGAAGACAAAAACTGGAAAACAGATGAGAGGTGTAACCATGGTGATGAAACCGGCTCTCCTGCAGCCTACTCCGTCAGAGTTGGAGCTAAAACTAGCGCTGAGGTTAGATATTTGATTTATTTTCCTCTGGTTTTCTGTACCTAAAGGCCCAAACATCTCAGCTGCAGCGAAGCCAATAACAGATTTTACTGGAGGATAGAAATTATTATGACAAACAATAATATTGTTGTTTGGAGACTATTTTTCAGTAATATAATAAGATAATAATCCACGTTCACCCACCAATAAACTTTCATTTTGTAAAGAACATTTAAAACATAAAATTAAATATCCAGATCAGGGCTGGTCCAAACCTTTCTGGGGCCCTCAGCAGATTTTTATTTGGGGCCCCTGTACCAACATGATGCTTCTTCATTACTAAGCTAACTAGCATTAGCATGATTATCTTACTATAGCTGTTTTAACATTACAGGAGTAACTAAAACATATGATTTAGATTTTGGAATACAGAATGACATTTAAACATGTCTTATTATTTTAAAGTAACATCAGCTGATAAAAACTAAATTTACAGTAAACAAGTTTGATATCTTATATTTCCTAACAGCCATTAACAGATTAATCAATATTTGTGTAGCATTATTTGTGGTGTGTGTGTGTGTGATATATATATATATATATATATATATATATATATATATAT